GAAGCAGACACCAACAGCTAAACACTGAGCCGAACTCCTAGAATCCAGTTGCAGAGAGGGAGGAGGATAAGCAAAGGGGTCAAGACCAGGCTACAGAAACTCACAGAGACAGCTGACCAGAACAAGGGGGAGCTCAAACTGATAGCTGGGAAACCAGCATTGGATTGACTCAGACCCCTGAACATGGGTCTTAGTTAGAAGGCCTGGGCAGTCTAAGGGACCTCTGACAGTGGAATCAGAATGTATCCTTTGGGAGCACATGCCCCATGGAGGGATATTCCCTTAGCCTAGCAACAGGAGAAGAGGGCCTAGACCCTACTCCAAATGTGTTGACAGATTTTGATGATCCCTCCTGGAAGGCATCACCCTCCCTGTGTAGTGGGTGGGGGATGGGATGGAAAGGTGGGTTGGGGGGGGCATGGGAGGACGGGAAGAAGAGAGAACTGGGATTGATATATGAATTAAGAAAAAATTATATATACACACACACACACACACACACACACACACACACACACACATATATTTATAATTCTTTCAAAGGGAACAGGAACAAGGCAAATAAAGCATGTTATTATATCCAAAAAAAAAAAAAAATGAAAAAGAAAAGAAATAAATCAAGCTGAGCAAGCCATGGGGAGCAAGTCAATGAGCAGCACCGCTCTTTGGCCTCTGCATCATCCCCTGCCTCCAGATTTTTGCCCTGTTTGAGTTCCTGACCTGACTTCCCTAAATGATGAACAGCAATGTGGAAGTGTAAGCCAAATAACCCCTTTCTCCCCAACTAGCTTTTTGGTCATGGTGTTTCATTGCAGCAATGGGAGCCCTAACTAAGACAGATGTCTTCCTCAATCACTCTCTTCATTATTTTATAAAACATGTTTCTCACTGACCCAGAAGCTCATCAATTCAGTAACCTTATCTGCCCAGCAAGTCCCACAAATCCTCTTATCTCTGCCTTCCATGCCTCTGCCACACCAGGACTTTTGCATAAGTCCTGTAGCTAGAGAAGTAGACCAGCTGCTATCAGTTTTGCTGCTCTTGCAGAAGAACCAGGTTCAGTTGCCAGCACTGACATGGCAGCTCATATTCATCTATAACACCAGTTCCAAGGGATTTAATGCATCCTCTGGCCTCCACAGGCACCAGACACACACATAGTACATATACATACATACAGGCAAACAATCACACGCATAAAATATATTTAAAAAAACCCCTCAGGTCCTCATTCTTGAATACACACAATCACTTTACCAACTGAGCCACATTCACAGGTCCTCAACCCCAATTCTGTTTCATGATGTCATCATCCAGCCATGTCTAAGGATTTCTCTAACCTGATCTGCAATTGTCTTCCTCATTTACTATTTTCCAGCCACTGTAGCTGCTTCTCAAATGTGAGAACCCATTTGTTTTTAAAGCATTTCACATGCCACATGTGAAGAAGATGATTCTCTGAATTTTTATAGAAAATATTTTGCACGGTCATAACTGAGTGCACACCCCACTTCTAAGAAAGGCCTTTCTTCCACAACATAAAATAGACCTTCTAGACTCTTTCTTGAAATTATTTTCTGTCATTTGGCTGTTTTATTTTCTCTGAAGTATTCAACTCAGAAAGTCTTTGCCTCAATGACAATAACTGCTACTTATAGCCTGAACTCAAACCAAAGTTCACTAAGCCTAGGATTGAAAAAAAAAAGAAAAATTGATTTATTAAGAGATCCTATATTACACTTCTCAAATGAAAGCATTTTGCATCAAATACAGAGTCAAACAGATGAAATGGGCCTATTTCTCCCACTCTAGTTTTCATCATGGTGTGCATTTGGTGTTATTGAATGAAATGATTAAGTTATTATGTGACCTTTTTAAGATGCTAACAGTCAGCACATATTTTGTATTGCTGTCTTCCCATCGCTTCTTCCAGTGGATTCAGATGGAGTCTGTCTCTCTCTACTCTACTCTCCCAGTGGACGTAGGTGGGTCAGGAGTTCAATGTCTAACTCTGGATGGTCCAAGTTCTCTTGGTGGTCTCTCTTCTGGCAGAGGGCAGGCGATGGTGTCCAAAGATTGGGCGTGTGGGGCTTCAAGGTGGTTCGGAGTGGATAGGCAGGTCCAGTGTGCTCAGAGCAGACTCACTAAGTTCCACAGTGGTGGAGGTGTTGTTGGACCAGCTTTCTGGCCCAGAGCTCACCCAGAGCAGTGGGCCAAGCAGGACCACAGGTCTTAGCTTGATTTCATATAGACCACAAGACCCCTAGCCCAAGGATGGCCTTGCCCACTATGGGCTGTCCCTCCACCATTGATCACTAATTGAGAAAATGCCTTACAGCTGGATCTCATGGAAATTCCTTCCTCTCTGATGACTCTAGCTAGTATTAAGTTGACACACAAAACTACCCAGTAAAACATCTGACATTGACCTCTGGTTTCTATATTTTAGTGCAATCCCCCACTTCCATGTGCACATACATATACTACAAATACCCATACATGCAAAATAAAGTGACAAGTGATAGAGGAAGATACCTAGTATCAACTGGTCTCCACAAACACACATTATATACATATAAACACACAAACACAAAACACGTGTATACACCACACACATGCACATATACATAAAGAATTTGGATTTAAATTACAAGGAGAAAGCACATTGTTGGACTGTAAATAGTTGTAGGGTATAATAATAGATTTTTTTTTTTTTTTTTTGTGAAGTCCATATTATTTTTTCTCTGTCTATTGTCTGTCTGTGTCTTTCTTACAGGGTCTTGTTATGTATAGTGCTGGCTGGCTTGAAACTCTCTTGCTCTGTATAGTGCTGGCTGGCCTCAGACTCTCAGAAATCTGTCTGCCTCTGCCTCTGAAGTGCTCGAATTAAAGGTGTATGCGACCACACCTGACCCCACATGTTACTTGTTAGGTCTTCAAAGTTAAGTAATGTGGTTCAGTTATAGTAACCCTCTATCCAGCGTGAAAGTAATTGTGTTGCAGGAGATGCTTAAGAAATGGCTTGGACACTTATTTATTTTTCATGTAGTAGTGTCTGCTCTGTAGATCTAGATATACTCTTGTGATGGGGTGGAGACAGGTCAATCCAGACCTTGTAAACACATTAAAACTGCAGCTTGTGTCACATTCATTCACATTTTGTTGAACCCAAATCAGTCTGGACTTAATCCAAATATGACCATATACTGCCAGTTGGGGGGGGTGGTCAAGAGAAAAAAGTGAGTATTTGCTAAACAGTAACCATAATCACAGGATTTTTTTTTTTTTTTTTGCCTTGGGACAATTGTTTTTACTTATGGATGGTTTTATTGCCTGTACCCTGGCCCAATCCTTCAGCAGTGTCTGCAGATTTTTTGATTGTCATCATGACCATGGGATGGAGGGAGAGTTGTTATTTTCTGGGCATCAAGTAAGTAGAGGTCATGACAGTCACCTCATAACAAAGCATTGTTGAATTCAAAAGATGTGCTAAGTCTAGTGCTAAGACTAGAAGAAATGCAACCTTAGAGAAGTAGCTGTAACTTTTTAGCATGTCAGAATCACCCAGAAGATTCATCAAACATACTGTCAGTGAGGCAGGCTCTCAGCATTAATGATGTTTTAGCTCTAGAATAATGTTGCACATGTAGGGGCCATACTGCAGGACCACTGCAACTGGAAAGAGGTCAGCTGTTGAACACTGCTGCTCTTCCAGAGGATCTGAGTTCAGTTTCCATCTTTCACATTGTGCAGCTTACAACCACTTCTAACTCCCACTTCAGGGGACCAGTGCCCTCTTCTAGTGAATGCAGGCACAATAAAACCTTAAAAAAAGGACCACTGAAGCCTGTTATGACATATAAAAGTTTTTTTTTCTTTTTTTCCCCTCTGAATAATATTCTTACCTGTAATACCTGTCAAAGCTGTTAAAACATATTTGCCATTGTTTTAAGCCCCCCCCCCCTTGGCTAAGACAACTCAGATATAACAAAGATGTGAGAAGCCTTAGAAAAGAGGTGTCACTGGTATATGAATTTATGTTTATAAGACATTCTCTCATGAGAAAAATGTGGAAGTGAAAGCTGGTAATCATACTCACTGTCCTAGAGGTAAAGATCCAGAACAATCAGTTCTCAAAAGATTATGCTTATATTTGTTAGAAGCAAGTTTCATGTTAGTCTTTCTTTAAAAGTTTTGTTTGTATTTTTGGTTGTGAGCCTAGCCTTTAATGCCTGAGCCAGCCTGGTGTACAGAGCAAGTTCCAGGACAAGCTCCATTGGTGCATGCCTTTAATCCCAGCACTTGGGAGGCAGAGGCAGGTGAATCTCTGTGAGTTTGAGGCCAGCCTGGTCTATAAGAGCTAGTTACAGGACAGCTTCCAAAGCCACAGAGAAACCCTGTCTCAAAAAAACGGGGTGGGGAGTGAGGGAGACTAAATACCATTTTATGAAATTCTTTGAACTGATATACAAATAAAATTGTAAAACAGAGGGGGAAATGTAGCCAAAGTAGTATAAGTAGAAAAAGCCTTTAATTCAATAGGTCATTTAACAAGGGCTCTCTTAAGAATCATGAGATTTAGTTATCCTTATTAGGGAGCTTAAAAAAGAAGCAAAAAGTAAGGAATGACATACTGAATGTGCTTGAAGCTGCCTATTTTAAATGTTATTACAGGATGGACTGTTCCTATGATCAATTTATAAAAAGAATTAAGAGTTTGGATTTGAGCATATAGGGACTTTATATAACCCCAAAGATGCCTTTTAAAAACTACTCACCCAAAACGTTTGTCCTGTATGTCAAGGGGATTGAACCCACGGCCTTACACATGATAAACAAGTAGTCTGCCAGTAAGCCACACAGCATACTGGATGGAAGAGTGGAAGAGTTTTGGTTTTATATTTTAACTGCATTCTTCAACTTCTGGACAAATGTGATAATTTTGTGTTTTAAATATATAATTTTTTTCATGGAAACTTATTGCCATTTTCACCGTTTAGGGTTTGGAGTGGATCAATTACGAGATGACAATCTAGAAACATATTGGCAATCTGACGGCTCTCAGCCTCATTTAGTGAACATCCAATTCAGGTAATACATTTTTACTTTTGCATAGACTGAAGTTATAAGTGGATAAGGATATCTATTCCATAAAATTCAAGGAAAACAGAAATTAAAATGAAATATACTTAACTGCTGTTAGATTCTATTAAGTCTTAGAGATGTTTTTGCCATCCAGATTGCAAGCAGTGTCAGTGTATTCTGCCCTACCCTTTATGTAGTTCTCTTTTCCATGTTTTCATGTGAGTGTGTGTGTCTGTGTTGTGATGTGTGTGTTGTATGTGTTGTGATCTATGTGTGTTCATTGTGGGGTGTGTGTGTTGTGATATATGTGTTGTGATGTGTGTGTTGTGATGTGGGTAGGTGTGTGTGTTGTGATGTGTATGTGTGTGTGTGTGTTGTGATGTGGGTAGGTGTGTATGTAGGGGTGCACATGGACACTGTTGAATGTGCATGTATAGGCCCAAGGTTGATGTTGGGTGTCTTACCTCAGTTGCTTTGAATCTGTATTCTAAACAGGGTCTCTCAGTGAACCTGAAGGTCATCACTTTGGCTCAGCTGACTGGCCACTGAGCTTCAGGGATCCATCTTTCTCTGCTCTTCCTCCTGTCTCCTCTTTAAGGCTAGAGTGTCTTGTAGGTATCTGAATTCTGTTTGTGAGGCAGGCACTTAGCCTCTTTATACATTTCTGGTAAAACTTTATGTAAGTGGTTCTGAAGTAATATGATTCAATTTTAGGAGCTAGAGTCAGAAAAATATAATTTATAACACAGTATAATGCCTTAATATACGATGCTTTTAATTTCCTTGGGTATGATAGTTAGGTAACTTCATACTTCTACTTAACCTGGTTGGGGGGGGGGGTGGAACTTTGTAAGCTTAGTTTTAAAATGATTACTATTTTGAGATTGTATGTTTGTCTAGTGCTGTGGATTTGTTGGTTATGAAAACTAGTCAGATTTGTTACCTTATTGCATTGCATCCTCTACCAATCTAGGTGCTTTCTTGTTGTAGGGTACAAATCAGCAAACTTCTTTTGAGTAGATAATAAATATTTGAATCTTGTGGTCCCTCTGGTTTTTATTGCAGCTACATAGTTCTGCCATTTCAGCACCAAACAGCCAAACACCAATGCATAAATGACTGAATTTAGTGTGCCTCCAGTTAAACTGTCCCACAAAAGCAGAAGTGAGACAGGAGTTGGACTCTAATCTCAGTTGTAATATATATGTGCCAGCAATAGCAATTAGCTTTTTTAAGGATTGAGATTGTAGCTACTGCAGGGCATGGTGGCACACACCTTTAATCCCAGCACTCAGGAGACAGAAGCAGGTGGATCTCTGTGTGTTTGAGGCCAGCCTGGTCTACAATAGAGTGAGTACTGGGACAGCCAAGGCTACAAAGAGAGACCTTGTCTCAAACAAAGATCCTGCTTCTTTACCAAATGATTACCTATTTATTTGTATTATTTACTTTCCTCACTAGTGAAACCAGGTGGTTGATAAGAAGCACTTATAGAAAGATTTTGTCTTAGAGTTTGACAGTACAGTGTCGAGGCCGCAGAGTGGTGTGTGGCTAATGGGTCTCATTCAGTACACAAGGTAGCTGAGACAGGCCAGGAAATGAGGTCACGCTATAAATTTCAAGGCTAATCTATTCTCCAACCCCCACTCTAAGTAACAGACTTGCTCTACCTGGGGCCTGCCCTTCAATTATTCTATTAATTAGGGACAGGATGTCTGTAAGGGACATTTACCATTTGGCTACTGGGTCCTTAGGCTCATGGCCATCACATTATGCAAAATGCATTCAGTCCATATTCAGAATCTCAATAGTCTCACAGTTATTCACTGCTCAAAATCCCAAGTTCAAAGTCTCTTCAGAGACTCAAGACAAGGCTGTAAGCCCCTGTAACATAAAAATGAGTGTGTCCATCTATCCGTCCATTCATCCATCAGTCCGTCCATCCATGATTGAAAAGGGCAGGGCAGTGGTGGCACATGCCTTTAGTCCCAGCACTCAGGAGGCAGAGGCAGGCAGATCTCTATGAGTACAAGGCCAGCCTGGTTTACAAAGTGAGTTCCAGAGTTCCAGGACAGGCTCCAAAGGTACAAAGAAACCCTGTTTAGAAAAACCAATAGAAAAATAAAATAAAATTAAATAAGCATAGGAAGGAAAGACAAAAGCAAAACCAAAACTTACCAGGGTAAACATTGAATTTTGCAGCTTCATGTCCATCATCTGGGCTCCAATAGGCTTGGGAAGGTCCACCTTTAAACTCTGGGGCCTACAGCATTCATGGCTTTTCTTTTAGGCTAGCTAGCCCCATGCAGTGCCTGCTGCTTTTTTTTTTTTGGTAGATATTCATGTTTCTGGTTTCACTAATATCTTTGGATTTCCATTGCAAAAAGAGGCTTTGTCCTTCACTTCATACATAGCCTACTCATCAAGCTATATCCTAGAGCTTTTAGTTGGTGGGGTCTTGCTCTCAAGGCACCCTTCCTAATGTTCCTGTGCAGAATCCAAGGTTTCTCCTTAAAGGTGGTATTCTCTTAGCAGTTACAGCAATTTTGTGTGAACCTGCCCTGACCTCAACTTGCACTGGATTCAAGTTCTTTTTTTTGTTGTGGTGGTGGTGGTTTGAATAATATTGACCCCCATAGGCTCATGTGCTTGAATGCAGCTCGCAGTTATTGAAGTTGTTTGGGAAGAATTAGGAGATGTGGCCTTGTTTGAGGAGGTGTGAACTTGTTGGAAAAGTATGTTATAGTGTGCTTTGAGGTTTGAAAAGCCCATGCCAGGTCTTCTTTCTCTGCTTCCTTGCAGATCAGGGTGTAAGCTCTCAGCCTCATGATGCCATGACGATCATAGACTAACTCTCTGAAACTTTAATCAAGGCTGCAATTAAATGCCTTCTTTTGTAAGTGTTGCCTTGGATGTGGTGTCTTCATGGCAGTAGAACAGTGACTCAGACAACTGCCAAAGGCTCATACTCCTTTTCCTCTCCAGACTTCACATTTTCTCACTGCAAATGTGGGAAATTGCAGTAACCAATAAACAGGACACAGCTTGAATGTTATGATATGGTAACATATCCTTCACCAAACAATCTTTATTGTTACCTTGGTTAGATTTAGAATTACTGTGGTGACCTCATGTTCCTGTTGCCATAACCATGAGCGGTTCCTACTGCCATTCATTCCCTTCCGTGATGGACTAGGCCTTTAAAACATGAGTCAGAATACTTCTTCCTTTGCTTCTTGTTAGGTATTTAGTCACAACAATGAGATAAATAACTGATACATCATTTATTTCATTTAATATTTACAATTTATTAGAGACTTAGATAAAACCAGAGTCAAATAATAAGTGAGTGGTAGAATTAGAATTAGAATTTAAGTTCTCTAATTTCAGAGCCTGTGCCTTTAACTTCCTATCCTATAAATCTGAGATAAATTACTGGTCTAGAAATACAAACATGGTAGCTTAAATAAAAGTTCAATATTGAACATCCAAATTTAATTGTAATACTAGCATTTGTTTTGTGAATTTCATTTTATACTATGTACTGAAAAAATCATAAACTAGTTTATACTTATTGACAAATTTTATTGTCAGACACTTTTATTTCACTGAGAATTTAAATATTTAATAGAATATATATATATATATATATGTGCACACACATATGTACACACATACACTTTTTGTAGTTTATATAATCTTCTAGGATGTAGGTTCTTTCGTATTTCTTATTATTAGAATCAAATGGTAGTTCCATTTAATATTTTCTTTTTTTTTGAGACTGGGTTTCCTCTTTGTAGTCCTGTCTGTCCTGGAACTCTCTCTGTTGGCCATGCTGGCCTTGAATTCAGAGAGATCCACTAGCCTCTGCCTCCTGAGACCTGGGATTAAAGGCGTGCACCACTGCCACCTGGCTACTGTTTAATATTTTAAGACACTTCCATACTGCTTCCATAGTAAATACCATGCTTTTTATTCCCTTGGGCAGTTTATACAAGCCTTATCCTCCTCCCCCCATTAAATCAGCATCTGTGATTTTATTTTTAAAAATAATGATCCTGTTAATGCATGTGAAGTGATTCTCATTTCCCGTGTGGAGTAGTTGTTTCAGTTGAAACACCTGGCAGAAGTAACTGAAGGAGGAACGTTTACTTTGGTTCGTAGTTTCAGAGGTTATAGGCCATTGGGCAAGGAAGACACGGTGGCAGAGGCAGCTGTCCTTTAAAGGTCTACCCTCAGAGTCACATCTCTGTCAGCCAAAAACTATGTCCCAAAAACTGTACAACACGAAAACAGTGCCACCATTTAGGAACCAGGTGTTCACACACATGAGCCTGTGAGGGTCATTTGATAGTGAAACGGCATCTAATGATGTGTGATGCTAAGCATCTTCTTGTGTACTTACCCGCCATTTGTATGTCTTCTTTGAAGAAATGCTATTCAAGTCATTTGCCCATTTTTAAGTTTACTTGTTTTTTTTTTTTTGGTTATTGTTGCAGAGTTGTAAAAGTTCTTTTTATATCCTGTTGCAGATACGCAGTCTTTTTGTTTTAATGCAGAAGCAAACATAGAAAATATGTAAACAAGCATTTCTTTTAGTAAAAAGTACATGGCACTCAACATTTGTCCTGCATTTGTAAGCTATAGCTTGTTAGTCCTGTTTTAGGACAGCTTGCTATTCTCAAACATTTTGTTCTTAATGTCCATAGTAAACCTTTATTTAGGACTCCACCAATCTTTTATTTTTGTATTTATCATATAACAAATTTAGTTATTCACTAAAATGTAGCAAAATACCCTATTATATGTTATATGGTATATATGTGTTATATATGTTATATATTGTAACAGCTGTATTAAAAATACTTATCTCTTCCTGGACTGAAGAGTGTTACTTGTTTGTGAAGCTCTTTGTCCCCTGATATATGGCTTCCGGGTCTCATTTCTGCTTCTTCACTAAGACTTTTTCAGAGTCCTTCTGGTTACTGTGTATTCAGAAAGTAGATAACACATTAGCATCAACAAAAGGATTCCGGGAACCTTCCTGCTCTTCCCACATGAGTCCTCCACTACTTGTCAGTGGCATTTCTCTTGGCAAAGTTAGCATCCCTAGCAACTTGGTCTTCATAGGGTTGGTCTCAAATCTAGATATTTGAAGAGAACTTTCCCTTTGATTTGGGATTGTAATCATGCCCAGCTCTCCATGACTACAAGCACTTGGCTTGCTGTTCTCCAGCAATTGTTCTTCCAGTGGCGAGACTGCCAGGTTTTTGTTTGTTTGTTTCTCTGCATAGCCTTGGCTGTCCTGGAACTCTCTTTGTAGACTAGGCTGGTTTCAAACCCATAGCCTGCCTCTCCCTACCACTCTAACCATAACCTTATCCCTAACCCTGGAGTTCTGGAATTAAACAGCCTGGTATGTCTTAGGTGCTTAACCAGATGAGGAATTACTCAGGAGTTAGGAGGTGAAGGACAAGGTATTACTTGTTAGAACTAAGAAGCTAATGAGAGCATACTAACTGCATCAGGTCTTCAGTCAAGTGTATTTGGTAGCATTGAACCCTAGAATTAGAGACTAGAATTAATTTACCCATTTGTAGCTAGACCAGACATGCTTGGTTTTGTATTTATGGAATGAAAGAACAAAGGAAAGTGTTAAATACATTGGAGGACAGAGGGAAGTCAGGAATGGTATTGATGTCAGTCAGAAACAGGGGAGCATTTCTCTGTTTCCATTCTGTATCAGTATGTCCTAGGAGTTTAGTGAGGTGCTTGGTGTGCACCTGCAATGCAGCGGCCATAGAGTGATGATTTGAGTAATTCCAGCATTTTCCACTGTGATTCAGTCTGTATATTTTATCTTCCCATGTATATTGTAATCTGAGAAACAGTATGGCTTTTATGCAGTATTATTACTTTTTGAATCAGTATGAGGCAAAATTTAGTAGTTTAAAAAGATTTTTCTGTAGAGTACTTTGCTGCAATAGCTGTTTCTTCTGCAAATGCAATAACCTCAAGGGAAAAAAAATGATTTAGCTCAAATGGAAATAACTACAAATATCTACTTAACACTGTAAACTGGTATCCGTCAATGGCTATTAAGCAAGCTACATCCAGTTAATTAAAGGAAGGTAGCAGTGATGAATTCAAGACAAGCACATGTCTGAGCTTTGCACAGTGCCTTGTATGCAGTAGGTGTTCAGTGCAGTGATGATGAGTAGAGTGAATGCTCTAGTAATTCTGCCTCTTTTCACTAGGACTCAGTTTGTACATTCCACCTTCCTGTGTACATTGTTACTTGAGAAATAGCATGATTTTCTTTGTAGAATTAGAACACTTATGAACATTTTTACCCTAGTGTTATTTCTTTAATCTCAGAAGCAATGAATTGGTGATAGAACAGAGAGAGAACACATGAAGCATTAATTCTGGGTCAGCCGTAAAGTATTCTCTGGCCATGTGTTGTTGTGTTTTGTAATGTTCATTAATTGTTACTATTCTTCACCTTTCTAAACTCACCCAGGTTTTGATGTTGAAGTTACTTCGAATTTCATTACTTGGGAGTAATACTTTGTGTAAAAAGATTGATCATTCACATCTGCTTTTGATTTTCTTTTTAATCTCTATGGTTTATGATCTTTCCATCTTAGGGAGAACTTTACTTCCTGCCTATGGCTCATCAAGAAAGTCTTTAGTAGCCATTCAAAATTTCTCTGCACCCTTTGCAGAAGTGCAGAGAAATTTCTCCAAGATGTCAGTTTGGTAGCTCTGGTCTCTTAAGAATCATCATAATGGTATCTGTCCTGTCAACACTTCAGAATAACTAGGGTGTATGTATTTTCTTAAGAAAAATCTTTATCTCTGCCCTTTTTTCCTGATGAATAGTTAGGTCTGCAAGTTTGATTTCCCAGAAGAGAGCTCCAGACCCCACTATTTTATAGGCTTACTTTTGACCCAGTTTACTTTTGCTCAAGGAACTCAGTGTTACTAAGCAGTACTAGTTTAGGCTTAACTTGTTATGTCCTTTTTAGTAGACTTACAAATGTTTGTGGAGGGTCAATGTAAAAAACCACCTATTTTTCTCCTCTGATGGCCAAATTATGTATGCTCATCCTGAAAAATTATTCAGAAAATACAAAAATTATAAGGAAGAAGATTAAGATCTCTTATAGTTTTTGCCCACCTAAAATAGTCAGATTTGCAATTTTTTCAGGTTAATGTGCTTAAACAACCATTCCCAAATATGATCCTTTTGTAATACTGTTTTATAATCTGTCATTTCCCCTATTACAGCATTATGCCTGTATGATTATTTTAAAATAAAGGTGCTTTTCAATTTTTGTTGAGATTATGTTCAAGTAAGCTCATTAACAATTGAAAACATTGTAAGTCAAATGTATTTGATAAACTGTTGAATGACTTCTCTCCCAGCACCCTGCAGAACACCTTCTAGCTCTATGAAATCTAGCTACTAGGGAGGAAGCTTGCAGCTCAGTTCCAGCTTGATTTCTCTGCCAACCAAAATGTGTTATGTTTTCAACAACAGGGTCCAATCTGGTTCTGGGCCACCAAGAACCATGACTGTAGTTTGTATTGTTCTCGGGGGCTCTGTGGCCTTCTCAACTAACAACTCCTGTGGCAGTATTCCAGTCCAGACACTGGGAATTATGGCTTCTGGGAGCATTGGTTACCTGTTCAGGTTACCTCCATTTAAACTCCTATAGTTTTTCATTATATTTTAAAAATTAGTTTATGATAGTAGGTTTTCAGATGGCTTTTTCATAATTGTTTGTTTTGGTTAGCCCTCCTCCTACCCTCTTCACCCTCATCCCTACTTAAAACCCCTAATATCCCTCCTGCTTTCCTTTCTTTCCCTCCTGCTTTCTTTCTTTCCTATCACATAGGTTCTATTATCCCCCTTCTCAGGCAGGGGTCTATTGCTGTGAAGAGACACCGTGACAAAGGCAACTCTTACAAAAGAAAGCATTTAATTGGGGGTTACTTACAGTTTCAGAGATTTAGTTCATTCTCAACATAGTGGGAAGCATTGTGGCATGCAGGCAAACAGGGTGCTAGAGAAGTAGCAGAGAGTTCTGCACCTGGCTTTGCAGGCAGCAGGATGTTGGGCCTGACTTGGGATTTTGACACCTCAAAGCCCTCCCCAGAAATTCACTTCCTCCAACAAGGCCACACCTACTCCAACAAGGCCATGCTTCCTAATCCTTCTTAAGTAGTACCACTTCCAAATGACTAAGCCATTGTGGGAGTTCTTGTGTGCTAGGTCCCACAGCTGCCTTGACCCAAATAAACACACTGATGCTATATTAATTATAAAACTGTTGGCCGATGATTAGGGCTTCTTATTGGCTAGCTTGGTCTTAATTATTCACCAATTTCTATTAATCTATGTATCTCCACGTAGTCTTACCTTACTGGAGAAGGGTCCGGACCTCTAAGCATTCAAATATATGAGCCTATGGGGACCATTCTTATTCAAACATCACATTCTCCTCACCTAAAGCATCCTTTCACCTTCCACACACCAGTAGCCCCTCTCTTCTTTTCTCACTTTATCAATGCCCTAAGTTAAACACACAAATCTAAAATGATCAGAAGGCAATGAATTTTCAGTTCACTTAGAAATTGAATTAGTGATCTACAAATGTATTTATTGGCTCAATATTCTTTTTCGAATGAAATTTGGGTATCACCATTCATTCTGATAAGAACATATTATGATAAACAAATATCTCCATGTTTAAATTTCTTCCTTTGATTTTTAGAAATTGAATATTATTTCATGTTTTTCAGTTTTTTTCATTTCCTGAGGTTAATTTTCTATAATGCATGTTTTGCTTATTCCCAAGGGAATGTGTGTATGTATGTATTTTTTTTTAAATGAAATAGAATTTTATTTTGTACATTAAGTGGCAGGGTATGCTTTTTATTGTTTAAAGTGTTTATTTGTTGAGCCTGATTTTTCACTTAGCTAGGAATTTTTAAGTATTAATATAAGGAATTAATTAATTAGTAAAGAAATCCAGGCTGGCTAACACATTTTCCTTGTGTAATGTCTAAGTAAAAAGGATGGGTATCATTAATGCTTGTTTGTATGTTAAAGCATGTAATTTGGCTTAACTGCTTCTTTACAATGATTAGTTCTTAACTATGTGCTCCATGAAGTATGTTTGAATATGTAAAATATCATGTCTGTACTTACAGTTTTTTTTATGTTTTCTCCTGCAAGTTGGAGGAAAAACAAAAGGCAATTGTTGATTGAACCTCAGAAGAGAGCATGTTTTCTTTTGATGTGATAAAGGGTGCACTTTTCTTTTACTGTTTTTAGAAGAAAAACGACAGTGAAGACATTGTGTATTTATGCAGACTATAAATCTGATGAAAGCTACACTCCAAGCAAAATCTCAGTCAGAGTAGGAAATAATTTTCACAACCTTCAAGAAATTCGGGTATGTCTTTAAGCTTTTGTTTTAGTGTGTGTTTCTTTAATTCATTCTATAGATGATAGTCATAAAATAAGAAAATTATATTGAAAACTATGTATATAATTTTTATATTTTCTTGAACTGCCTTCTTTTTTTTAAATGCTTTATTATGGAGTTTTCATAACATCCCATCACCTTTGAGATGTTTTAATGTCTCACTATATTTGCTTTATTAAAATTATTTTTTAGTTCATCAACATAAGTTACAGGTCCCTGATGAAATCTAGGGTGCAGGAACATGCTTACTTTCTCTGCTGACTAAAGATTATAAGGCAGGAAACAAGTATTATCTGAAAGCTTGGCAAGTCCTGCTGGTGCTACCATGATACTTGGGAAAAGAAAAAAATGAGAATGGAGTCATGGGAGTGCATGGGCAATTTATTATAGTCTAAAAGAAAAATCCAGGCAAACTGCAGATTTAACAGTTGCCCAGCGGGAGAAAAAACCATGCTGCTTGCAGTAAGCTGACGTAGAGGTCAGTGTCAGTGGTCAGCTGTAGTGCGGCAGGGTTGTATGGCTGGAAGCGGAGCTTCAGAGAAAGAGTAGAGGGCCCAGAGTAACAGGAAAGCACACTTAGGCTCTAGCCAGTATCAGAAAGAAAAAGGCAGAGGAGAAGAATAGGTTAGGAAAGGTGGGCAGACAAAAGACAACTCTCATCTACTCCTAGCGGCTGCACCAGGGAAGAAGACATACATTATCTAATGGTGAACTCACCTTGGGGGGGGGGTCCCCTTAGCCAGGCCCTCAACCTGCTCTCACTTAATTAGTTATCAAGGGAGGAGATAAGGACAGATCTCCAGCTAGAGGTAGATTCCATTGTTTACTATATCATCTCTATTTCAAATATATGAGCATGATATATTAGTAAGAATTTTCAGTATTTATTAATATTCATTTTAAGGGAAACATTATATACAATTTTATGTGTATCTTAAGTAGATTATTTGGTGGTTTAACAAATGTATATGTCTATGTTGTCACAACTCCTTTAAAATGTGGACCATTTTTCTCTAGGTTCATGAAAAGACATCATGAAATGTCTTTTTCTGTCCCTTCACGCTGAGTTTGTATTTGTCTTTAAGTATGAGGTCAGTGTCTTGTAGGCAGCATGGACTCAGTCAGTATTTGATTGAAGGATTTAATCCTCTGTATTCACAGTGATGATTGATGTACTAGAGTTTGCTGCTGCCATTTGTTCATTGCCTTCTGATCACATTAGGTTCTTTCTTTTCTTATTTTGTGCTTAAGTAATGTTCCTAGTAGTATGTGTTGAGCTTAGTCTTTATCTTTTGCATACAACTTTGTGATTACCACAAGTTTTATATAACAGATTTTATACTTATAATACCTATTTATTGTAAACTAGTAACAACTTAACTTTGATTGCATAATTTTACTGCTTCATGTTTTGTTTTGATGCCAACAAATGTTTGCCTTTTTTTTTTTTTTTTTTAATGTAGAATGTTGTGTTTTCTTGGAGAAAATGAGAAACAAATGTTGGTTCATGCTAGGTAGGTAACTTAGTTAGGGTTACTATTGCTGTGATGAAACACCTAGACCAAAAGCAACTTGGGGAGAAAAGGGTTCATTTTGTTAACAGTTCTATGTAATAGATCCTCTTCAAAGGAGTGAGGGCAGGAACTCAAACAGGGCAAGAACCTGGAGGCAGGAGCTGATGCAGAGGCCATGGAATTTGCTTCTTTACTGGCTTGTTCCCATGGCTTGCTCAGCCTATTTCTTTTTAAAAAGTGTATTTATTAATTTAGTTTTTACATTCCAAATGCATCCTTTATTCCTGATCCTCTACTGCCCCCTCCACTTCCTATCTGCTCCTCAGACAACATCATTAAGTCAGTTTGTACATTAGAGTTAGATCTTGGACCTACTACCAATGGTCTCATAAAATCCCCTAGCCACACCGTTGTCACCAATGTTAAGGGAGCCTAGTTCAGTCTTATGCAGGTTTTCAAGTTGTCAGATTCTGTGGGTTTTTCCATCATGGTCTTGACTTCTTTGTTCATATTATCGCTTCTCCCCCACTTTGATTGTACTCCAGGAGCTTGGCCCATCCATTAGTTGTGGATTTTTGCATCTGCTTCCATCTGTTTCTGGAAGAGGGTTCAGGCTTCTCTGGGGTTGTGGATTGTAGTCTGGGTATGTGGCAGTTCACAATTGTTTGTAACTCCAGTTCTAGGGGATCTGACACCTTTACACCAATGCACATAAAATAAAGTTATATTTCAAAAAAAAAAATAACTGTACTGTGGTCCTATATATAAAAGTCTTTGGGGAATTTTTGTTTTTGTTTGTTTGAGGTTTTTGCCTTTTAATATTTTGAGAACAGGTCTCTCTATGTAGCTCAGGCTGGCCTGAACTCATTAGACAGCCCAGGTTGGTTTTGACTTTGCTATTCTGCTGCTCATCTGCACATGTGCCTTATCTTTTGCTTTATGTCTGATATCCACTTAGGAGTGAGTACATACTATATTTGTCTTTCTGGGTCTGGGTTACCTTACTCAGGATGTTTTTATCTACTTCTGGCCATTTGTCTACAAAGTTTAGGATGTCATTGTTTCTTACCACTGAGTAGTACTCCATTGTGTAAATATACCACATTTTCCTTATCCATTGTTTGGTTAAGGGGTATCTAGGTTGTTTCCAAGTCCAGGCTATTATGAATAATGTTGCTGTGAACATGGTTGAGCAAATGTCCTTGTGGTGTGAATGTGCCTCCTTTGGGTATATGCCCAAAGGTGTTATTTGCAGGATCTTGAGGTAGGTTGATTCCTAATTTACTTAGAAATCACCATACTGATTTCCACATATCAGCCTGTTTCTTATAGAATCCAGGAGCACCAGCTCAGCGATGGTACCACCTACCATGGGCTGGGCTTTTCTCTATCAATCGTGAATTAAGAAAATGCTGTACAGTCTTACCTGTAGCCCAACTATAATTATGTAGGCATTTTCTTTATTGAGGTTCCTTCCTCTCAGATGAGTATAGCTTGTTATAGCTTGTGTCAAGTTGACATAAAACTAAGCAGCACAGTAGGACATTGTTTATGCACCAAAGAAGAAGTCATTCCATCCAAGTCCAGCTTAGTGAATCAGTGAGTGTAGGGGATTTCTTCCAGAAGCTTGGGTGATTCAGAAGTAGCTGTATCACTGAAAAGCCCATCCCAGTGAAGGGTTGGTGTCACCTTGTTTGGATTGAATCTGGTTAGAGATATTTGACCTTTGTGTTCCTGGATTTTTGTCTCTTCCCAGATCTGGAAAGGAGTTTTGCTCTTATACATTAAAAATTTAAATGTATGTGTTTTTAATGTGAATTATTTCTTTATGAGTGTATGTGTGAATATCTGTGTTAGTGTATGCCCACATGTATGGTGGAGCGTTTAGATGCTAGAAGAGGGTGTCAGGTCCCCTGGAATTGGAATTACAGGGGATTGTGAGCCACTGGACTCTGGTACTAGACCCAAACTCTGGTCCTCTGGATGAACAGCAAGTACTTTCAACTGCTGAGCCTTCTCTCCAGGCTGTTGTTAGTTCTTTAAATGAGCTCACTGTTTGTCTTCCTACTGGAGCTCCTGTAACCTGCTTTTTAAAATGTCATAAAATTTGCAAGCTTTCATCAGGACTTTGCATGGTTTTCCTTTAGATTATCTTTGCTCTTGTGCATTAAAAGTTTTATTTATTGTATTTTTCAGCTCTAGAGTGTTTGATTAAAAAAAACCCTCCACTTCTTACATTTCTAATTTTGTTTATGTATTATACAAACTTTTTTGAATTACTTCTATTTTCTCAAATCTTCTAGCTTTTTTTTCTTATTTTTAAGCAGATAGTTTGAATCTCAGACAGTTTTTAGGGTACTGCATTTCCTCAGTGCCAGTCAGTGGTGCTTTATTCTGTTCCTTTGGTTGTGTAGTATTTCTTGGATTGTTCTTGAGTCTTATGGCACAGTCTTACTATCTGTACTTGAAGAAGAAATAATTCCTGTCTTTGAGGACTGTCTGGGCAAGCCCACCACCAGCCATCCATCCCATCTGGAGATTCTGGGAAGGACAGCTGATGAGACCCATTGGTATGTTTGCCATTGGGGTCTTCTGGTAGTCTGGCCTGCTCCCAGTAGGTGAGCCGGTGTGTAAGTCTGGTGTCTTAACAGAAATGGAGTTTGTTTCTGTGAAGGACAGCTAGAAGTTTGTGTCTACAGGAGCTGACATAACTTTGTGTTAGTCTTATTCCTGACTGTATAAGGGCTTATCATATTCTAGGAAGGACCTGATACCTGGCCCATTGGAAGCCTACTCTATATTGGGAAGGACTTGTTGCCTATTGGAATAGACCTGGAACCAAAATTCATGGGAGTCTTCCCACTGCTAGGACACTGAGTTACATCTGATTCCTAAGTCTAGAGGGGCATACCTAAAACCTGGATTTATACTAATGATTATGGAACCTTAGTCTTTAGATGCTGGAGTGGAATCAGGGTCTTTTGGGATAGACTTGGATCCTGGATATGCTTGGCCAAGTCTGGCCCCTAGGGTCACTCGAGTTTACAGGATTCATTGTGAAATTGGTTGTGAATACAAGCTTGCAGACTGAATCTGCAGGATTTTGCTTGTGGCCTCTGGTTTCAAGTGCTAGTCTGGAAAAAAGCAAAAAACCAAAACAACCTGTAGATGTCTTCTAGCATGGACTTGTGGCTGCCAGACCAACACTGAGTCTACCTATTCCTTCAGCCTGGCATGAAGGAAGGCTTGTGACTTTGTGGATGCCAGACCACACAGCTTTGCTTGATAGCAGGGTCAGCAGGTGCTAGCCTAATGAAGAGTGGTACAATGCTGTGGCACAACTGAAGTCTTAGTCTGTGGGATCCAGTTTGTGGTTGGGACTGTGTATAACTCAGAGATGCTAGGGTTATTTTAGCCCTGCATTGTACTTTGAGTGGTGATTGCGTAGGCCCA